AAAAAAAAAAAAAGGACGCGGGTTAGGACGAGATGAGACGGGACGGGACATGCGGGACGGGACAAAATGACCATCTCATACCATCTCATGTCCTGTTTAACATGGACCCATCCCGTTTAGAATTAAGTGGGACGGGACGCGGGACAGGACATGACGTCCCGTCCCGTTGGACAGCCTTAGTTCCAAGAAAGAAAGAGAGTTCTTTCAACTAACTAAGAGATTTGGTTGGGATGTTTCTTCGAGAAATTTGAAATAAATATGGTTGGAAGCGGAGACGAGCTAGAAGCCGACCACGGGTTCAGTCAAACTCAATAGCTTTCCTCAAATAATATATTTGTGTTAAGAAATTTACTAATTATGTATAACTATTAAATTTAGAACTCAATTATTAGTATATGAAATCGTTCTAAAATTCAGAACCTATAAAGTTAAAATCGTAACTTCGCCTCTAGACTTGGACAATGTGTTTTTGAAGAATTTCAAATGGAATTAACATATTAAGAGTGGATTATTATTGTGGTCAGTGGCGGAGGTAGGATTACCGTCAAGGGGGTTTAAAAAAAGAAAAAATTTAAAAGGATTGTAGCTAGTGGGAATAGAACCATGAACCCCTTGACCACTAAGCTATACTTTTGCGCTGTGTCAAGGGGATTCAAAAATCTTAACCGTGCAAGACTGTTATTTCCTTAAAAAAATTAAGCAACTTCCATTAATTCCTTTCCTATCCCTTAGCACTTGCTAAAAAGTGGGTCCCATATTACACTTTTAGCTTCATACCTGGTCCTTAAAACAATTAAGCAAACGGTGCTTAGTTGAACTCATTTGGATTGACTTAATTTAAGTAACTTTTAAGTATCAATTGCTTAAAAGTATTTTTCATATGCTTGAGCTTAATTTTTAAATAAGCAGTTATGCGTTTGGATAAAGGTACTGGAGCTGAAAATAAGCATTTGATGTGTTTAGAAAAAATATGCTTATAAATACTTTTTCTGTTAAAATGATTTAAATGCCCTCAAACTATCAATACTAAATCAATTGTACTGTCTTTTCTTTCTTTCTTTTTTCATGGGGTCAAAACAAATGAATAGGTGTAGATTCCAAATCAAGTTGATTGTTAAGCTCTATTTTCTTGAAAGTAAGAGGTATTTATACTTACCGAAAGAAACGCAGGTTATTAACTACAATTAATTTGAACTTAATTCAAATATAAATTATTTTTTGTCTCAATTAAAAGCTTCATTCTTCCCCACCCAAAGCCACCCACCACGAGAAAGGAAATAGATAACTCTACAAAAAATAAAATGATGTTCATTTTTCACTCTCAGGAATCCAAAATCAAAAGAGTCACTAGAATTAATTTATCTGTTTGCCAAAAAATAAGCAATCAAAGACTAGCTTAAAGAAAAACAAAAGGCACCAAGGACTTCAGTTCGGCAGAGATGGAACTTGGAAGACAGAGATTGGAAATGGCGGAGGAAAGGAGAAAAAGAAAAGATTATAGAATTTGGAAGGCAGAGATTGGAAATGGCGGACGAAAGGAGAAAATGAAAAGATTGGGGTATTTTGGGAATTATACATAAGTATCAGGGATAGCAATGTAAAATATTTGGTCAAAGAGGGGTGGCTTTTAAGCTTAAAAAAAAAGTTGGAATTACCCAACTTATCACTTTTGGCTTATTTTGGATCTTTTGGCTTAAAAGCATTTGACCTTTAAACAGATTTTAAGTTTGCCAAATACCTAAATAAGCTAAAAAAAATGACTTAAAAGCTGGTTTGACCAGCTTAAAAGCCAATCCAAACGGGCTCTATTTCTTGTGCATGATGTCCAGTTGTCCCCGTTGTATGCTCTTAACAAAAAGGGTTAAGACAATGTTTATTCGGTTATTGAAGCTTTAGTAGTTCTTAAGAAAGTTATTGTGATGTAAATTTTGTAAAGTAATGTTCCAATTTAACTAAGAAAAAAATAATAATGTAATTTTGTAACTAATTCCATATTGTCAATATATTTTGTACGTTTAATTTGGATGAACACCGAATCTATATAAACATTAATAATTTGTTGTATAAATGTTATCATTATTTATAAGGAACTTCATTAATTTCTTATTGAAATAATAAGATTAATACATGGACTAGATTTGATGATATTGTAGTTTTAGTTGTCAAGTAGCAAAGCTTGCTCGATTCATTTGTATATACACTATGTTTCATCAACTTTCATGTGTGTTTATTGTATTGTTCCTTTTGATTTTACAAAATAATAAAATGCAATGTGTATATGACTGATGAAACTTGTACTCCCTTTGATTTTATGGTGGACTTGATTATCATCTTTGATAATTGAAAACTGTAATAGTTACCTCATATGAGGAATTACGTGGTACAACAATTGTAGAGTTACTGAAGAAAATGATAAAAAGGTTCTTAACACAAAAAATATGTGCATGCCATTATCAATTGTGGAGTTACTGAAGGAAATAATAAAAAAATTCTTAACACAAAAATACGTGCGGGCCATTATTATCTTTTAAGTTTTCAAAATCAGAAAGGGAATTGTTTGGAGAAATAGATTAATTTTGTAGCAAAGTTTACAAATAGAAAACAAATGTCAACATCAAACTCTTTTTAAATTTTATTTGGATTTACAAGATGTTAGTTAAATTGTTTCATTATCGGACATGATTTACTTTTTAAAAATAGTAGAATACTCCTAAATTAAAATATGTATTTAAATATACATTATTCTACAATTTTGAAATCATTTCGGAAATAGAATTTACAAAGGTAAGATCTATCTTTGCATTTACTACGTTCTTTAATTTGCCAAATGCCTTTTTTAGATGATCACTATTTTCATTTTGATCGTTTTGTAAGTTAGAGTATATTTATTTTTTGTAACATAAGTCCACGCCACTTCTTGAATTTAAAAGATAAAATTAGGACTTTACGGTAAAAGGATAGTATTAAAGATATTCTTTCCTATTTTGTTGGTTTCTCATACATAGATATTTGCATTTAATTCAATTGTTTACGTTGATTGACACAAAACCGTTTCAGTAATGTTTTGGAATGTCAACACTCAGACCGTGAATAAAGGATTTACCGTCACAAAGAAAGCTTCAAATAATACTCCACTTCAACAAAGTGTGCATGTATTTTGTGTAGATAAGTGTAAATATTTATGTGTGTATATGTTTTTATAAAGACACGATGATTTGCTGTTTAATTTGGATGATGAAATCATGTTTAAGCTAAAAACGTATTCTGAAACGATAGTACATATTGCCAGTTTTATTAGAACCTCTCAAAGTTTACATGTTACATCTTAAGAACTTAGGGGCCGTTTGGTTGGGAAACAAGTTATCCATGATTAATTATCTCGGAATTAGTTATCTCATCCTCTCATAGGGATAAAAAAAATACTATAATTCCAAAATAACTAATCTCGAAATTAGTTATATCACGATTTTATCTCAACCAAACATGAGATAAACTATTCTCTCAAATTTATTTTCGTAATTAATTATCCTTTATCCCTCATATCAAACGAGTCCTTAAAATTGTACTTTCACCTAATTAGATCAACACAAAAATAATTAAAGCTAAATAGTTATTGGGCCCGTGCTTAGCACGGGCAACACCTGTATTGAAAGAAAGGAAAAAAAAAGGTGTCTAACAAATTAGAACGGTAGGAGTAGGAGTATAATTTCGTCTCATTTGCTTATTGCCTGTGCACAAAACAAATTACTTGTGTAGGTGGGAGGTAATAAATATATGACTATAAACTAAATAATTAAAGTGTAAAAACCACCATTATTCTTTACTTGTCTATCAAGAAAATGTCAAAAGAATGACTTTAAAAAGAAAGTCTTCTTCTAATTTTGACCCTAAAACTCTTTTTTTGGTCCTTTTTTCCTACTTAAATAAACCAAAGTTACCAAATCTTTACTCTTTCCCCCTCCAAAAATTTACAAAGGAAAAAAACCCAAAAAATGTTTGGTGGAGGAGACAATGAAAACCTCGGACCATTTACCCAACGTCTGATGTTTCCTAATCTCCCCCTCCACCTCCTTCCCGGCGCTTCAATCTCCACCGCTACCGCCACCGTCGCCGGAGACGATGAGTTTCCTAAGCGGGACGAGCGTGTTCCGCCGTGGAGTAATCAGGAGACTAGGGATTTCATAGGTATTAGGGGTGAGCTTGAAAAGGAATTTTCTTTAGCTAAACGAAGTAATTGGAAGAATCTATGGGAGATGGTAGCTGCTAAGATGAAGGAGAGAGGGTATAGGAGAAGTGCAGAACAGTGTAAATCCAAGTGGAAGAATTTGGTCAATCGTTACAAGGTAATACATATATACTCCTTTCGTTCCAATTTATGTGACATAATTTGAATTGGTGCAGAGTTTAAGAAAGAAATGAAAGATTTTGAAACTTGTAGTTTTAAACACATACATTTGTGTAAGTTTAAAAATTTGTCATAAAGAATAAAAAATGGGATGTGTAAAGTATTTTGTTTCCAAATATAGAAATGTGTCATATTTTATAAATGGACTAATGAAGAAATAAATAGTGTCACATAAACTGAAATGTAAGGATTACATGTTTTATGACTATAATTCTTGGCATCATTTTATCTGTCTCGAAAAGAAATGACGGGTTTTGGAGTATGATGTGAATACATTTAATTTTTGGGTGGGAATTTAGACGTTTTCTTAACAAATTTTATGAAACTAGGTAAAATTACTATAAAGTAAAAATTTTGTAGTTAGAAGAATCTAAAGAATGTTTAAAATGGTCCTAACTTAAGAGAACTGTTTCACTCCCAATTAGTAATAGTACCAAAAAGCGTTCAATTGGTTTAGTGATGGATGGAGTTGAAATGAAGACCATGAGAGACTAGAGTTTTAATCCCGCAAGAAATCTAGATGATCTTTCCCATTTGCCTTGGCCTTATTGGGTGGTAGATTTATCCAGTACGTTTACGAATAGGAGGATGCAGGTACCCTGTGGAGTACTTGACTTGCGCATAAGCTGGACTGACCACTACTATTGTATAAAAAAGAAGAAGGTAGTATTGGTGTAAACAAATTAGGATAGAGGGGGTATCTAATATGTGCAAATGCAGTAAAAAATTCTTGTTTTGTTCGTTCTTTTTGATTGGCTGATACTGATAATCTAAGTTGCTCGGACTCGGGTGCGGGTGTCCGATACGGGTGCGGATCTAGAGGCCAGATACTTCATGATCTAAATTTAAAGATTCGGGGTTACGGATACGGGTACGGCGATTCGACTAAAAATAATTCAATTATTTAAAAATAGAGTTATAAAAATATGTCTAAATTATGAGACATTATGTGGAAAACTTACAAGGTATTCTGAGAAGGAGAAAATATTGAACAAGAGTAGAATTTTAGAAGGAGATAAAAAGAAAAGGACTGACATAGAAATTTATATATACAAGGTATTCCATTTTCTTTCATATCACCCTACCTTTTGATTTGTTTTCAAAAATCATTGTGTCTGTCCCAAATTTCTCCGTTGATTTTGGTCAAAGTACCCAAAATCGGTTGTCCAGATCCGACACGGATCCCACACCCATACCCACACCGACATCGTGTCGACACGGGTGCGACACTGAAAGTGAAGAGTCCGAGCAACTTAGCTGATAATATGGTCCTTTAGAAGTAAAATGATCTGAATTATCGGACAGTTAGAATTAATTTAGAGTATAGTTAATAAGGTGATATTTTCTTCTTGGGTTCATGTATGTGTATTCTAGCAACTATGAAAACTTTATTGAAAAAATAACAAAAAATTAGAGTAATATCTGCAGTCCTCACATTTTTATTGCTAGTTATCTGCTTTGGATTTTGGTGGCTTCAACTTGTATTTGAGAAGTGAGAAATTGAAGTGGGAGGAGAACCATGGGGTTTCAGGTTCAAATGCCAGTGGAGACAAAAAAATACTAGGTTATTTCTTCGTATCTGCCTAAGCCTTGGTTGACAAAGCTACCCGGTACCTATGCTGGTGGGAGGTAGCAGGTACGTGATGGAATAGTCAAGGTGAACGCAAGTTGGCCCGGATAGCACCAATTTTGTTAAAAAAAGTGAGATATTGAAATTGAAGTTACTAATGCTAAGTAAATTATTACTTCCCCTCACCCATTATCTATGCAGATAGGTTCACAGATTATATCTCCCTATTTCATTTGGGAGATATAATTTGATTGTTAGAAACAATTTATTCTTGGTGGTGTTTGGTTTGGGCTACGTTGCGCGAACTCTCCAATATGCTGCCGCACCTGTGTCAGATCCTCCAAAAATACACTACTTTTGCAGTATCCGACACGAACCAGGCAACAATTTCGGAGAGTCCTAGCAACATAGGTTTTGGGTCGATTGTTTGAACGGTTTCTGGTTTTTACTAGATCAGAATTGGAATTTGTGGACCAGTATTTGTTACAGATGTCATGTGTGAAGATTTGTTTTTGAGGCTTCCCTTTGCAGGATATAACGAATTGAGAGATGTTTTAACAAATAAAAATGCCTATCATATGTGCACATTCTGATGGAAATTTGCTTAGATGTCATTTGGAGTAGCTACCATGGAAGGATAAGTGAGTGTCGGTGATGTATTCTTGTAATTGACTTTGTAATTTGCAATAAGATCCGAAATCGTGTGTCAAGACTGCTTTTTTGGAGAGAAGAGAAGGGGTGTTGGACTTTTGGTGAAAAAGAGGAGTTATTCAGTGAAGCACTTTTTCTAAAGGAAAATCTCATTTGTTTCTTAGCTGGCAGTCAAGCTTGGCACTACTGCTAAGTAAAGAAAGAAAGTATCAGGACGAAGTAAACTTCATGGTTCATTTTGATGTACAATCAAATAGGAGACACTTGCTATAGAGGGTGTTTGAGTAAGCTTATAAGCTACTCAAATTAGCTTATAAGTATTTTTAACTTATATGCCAAAATCAGTCATAAGTTGGTCAACCCCCAATTTATAACTTCTCGGCTTCTAAGCATTTACTTTGACCAAGTATTTTACTATTTTAGCCCTAATATTTTTGTTGTAATTCTCAAAGTACTCTTCCCCAAATAGAACTCGCAAAATCCCTCTCAATTCTATATTCGTCGTTTGTTCTTCTCCTTGTATAGATACTTTCTAATTTGTAATTTTTGTAAATAACTTTAAGGACTTATTAGTCATTTTAACAGAAAAATGGCTTATCAACATTGTTTTAATCAAACACATGAACTGTTTATTATCGATTTCATCACTTCTACCTAAGCATGTAATTATTTATTTATAAAATCAGTTTCAACACAAAAAAGTGCTCTTTAGCACTTAATGTTTATCAGCTACTTCCAATCAACTAAACCAAACGAGCTCTTGGATTAATAATGATAAGTTGTCAGAAAGGGCTTTTTATTCTCCTCTACTTTCCTTTTCATACTACTAAAGTTAGACTTGCACCTTCTTTTGTTCAAAGAGGGGGAGAGCTTAGTGATTTGCTTCTCTGACGAAATATTTATCCTACATTCAAGTTACATAAAGTTGGAAGGATAGCAGAAAATATTTACTTGCTCCTTTCCAACTTTGGAGGCATTGAGAATGCTAATGCAAAGGGTAGTAGAAAATATTTACTTGCTCCTTTCCAACTTTGGAGGCATTGAGAATGCTAGTGTTTTTTCATCTTTTAATGTAAACCAAACATAGGAATTATCAACCTTATTTACTTCTGTTCTTCTTGGGCTGAGGTGTATTGCATGAGATCCCACTAGGGTAAATTTATCTACCTTCCTTTAGCCAAGGTTCGTTCCCTTGGATCCTCTAGGGATAAGTCTATCTTCTACTCCTTTTATTCAATCCTTCATTGCCCTATAGTAGAGGATACACACTAGTATGATCCTCCTTCAAAGAAGACATCCAATAGTCCCACAGAAGGCTTTACTCCTTCATACTTGACTTTCATTTTCTTCGGTTCAACCGACTTGCCAAAAATGTTTCTAGATATTTTTTGGTAACTTGGAGGAAACAACTTGAGAAATAGTAAGAGTGATTTGTTTCTAGGAGTTGCAAAATGTTATCGCCGAGTACAAGTGTAGGGGAATATTATTCTGCTTCTTATTCCAAAAAAAGGAAAAGAACTTTTCATTCTTCCTCTTAAGAAAAGGAGAGAAAAGGACAGGCTGGGAAAGGGGTGTAGCTGATATCTACACAGAAGGCATAGCTAATGCTCTTGGTTAGTCCTCAACTTGACTAGTTCATGCTTACTAGAAGCTCCAACAACAACAACATATCCAATGTGATCCTACAAGTGAGGTTTGGGGAGGGTGAGGTGTATGCAGACCTTACCCTTACCTTGTGTGAGGTTTGACATGCTTACTAGAAGCTCATTCTTTTAAAAGGGAAATGCATGAGGAGAACTTTGATGTAGTTGTTTGCTGTTATAATATCTTTACCCTGCCCGGGGGAGAGAGATGATTGTGTCTTGGCTGAATTTGCAGAGCAAGTTAACAGATTTCTTTTTCCACAGGTCAACATATAAGTTGGTGAAATATTATTAAAAAGATAAGCAGGTCAATACCTCTTAACATCTAGAATAATCACGATAAACCTCATCCTTATTACAAGGGTTTTATTCTGTTTTTTAACAAGCGGTTTATTCATATCTGAAAAACAGTATCTGTTACATGGCCTTCTTTATATTGTCTCTTTTCGTCTTCTTGAGCCGAGGTCTTTCGAAAACAGCCTCTCTACTCCCTCGGGGTAGGGGTAAGGTCTGCGTACACACTACCCTCTCCAGACCCCACTAGTGGGATTTTATTGGGTCGTTGTTGTTGTTGTTGTTACATGGCCTTCTTATGATATTTTAGCCATTATTTGGCCGGGCTGCTAAACATATTTCTGCTGGAAAATGTGTTGAATCATGTTATGTTGACATTGGGCTGTGATCCAATTTGGATATATTCTGTCCATTTGGATCTACGGTACAATCCATAAGAGGCTAAAGGAAGAGGAGAGCTAGGACATTTTGGTAAAAGAAAAAGTGAGCGAGAATAAAAACTTGCCAAACACTGAAAAAAGCTAAAAGAACTTAAAAGCTGATTTGACCAGTTTAAAAGCCAATTCAAACACCCTCTAAGGTTATCGCTAAGATCCACTATCATCATATTCTGTTTTCTCTACAAGATACCCATTTCTCTACAAGATAACCCTAGGCCAATCCATGCTCGTCTCACCCCAAGGGTGAACCCTGTGGCTAGTCTCTGCACATGGCAGCTTTTTCATTTAACAAATTATGAGTGAGTTAGCTCATTCACTAATGTATCTACATGGAAGAAGGATCACTTAGCAGTTAGCATGTTCATATCACATTAGTCCTTAAAGAAGACATTAATGAACTTACAAACCTCTCATTTAACACAGATCATGCTTAGATACTATAGACTTGTCCGTTTATGCTATGTACTTCATCTCCTATAAATCACAACTAACATATGCAACTTGCTTTTATATAGAACACCAAATCACGAGTTGGATTATTCCTTACCTGTAGTCCTAAGCTTAGAAGGAAGTCTAGTCTATATCTGCCATACATCTATCCATGGTTTCCATAAGTCACAGAGAAAACGTGGCGCTTGGTCATGTATGTAATTCACTCCTATTAGTACATGTCCAAAATATATAGCGCCTTCACAGCTTTATAACATGTCACTTTGTGTTTATAAATTCATTAACTATTGAAATTCAACTATCCAGGAGTCTCTCTAGTTATAACAAGAGCTTTGCTTGTGATCTTACCTACCAGATTATCTCATTATCTAACGAATTGAAAAGCCTGCAAAAGAAGAAACTTGCAAAAGAGGAGAAAGTTACCCTTCTTATGTCTTGGATTTGCTCCGGAGAAACTGCATTTTTCCTTTAGATTTTGTTTTAATGGAAGCTTTAAACCTTCACAGGGCAAGGAATCATCTGATCCAGATAATGGCGGGCAATTTCAATTTTTTGATGAGCTGCATGCACTTTTTACAACAAGTACAAATAACGTACATCAACTACAACTCGAATCTGAGGCTGGTTCCCAACAAGCAAAAAAGAGGCCTCGGAGAACAATTAGAGATCAATCTTCAGAGGATGTCTCAGAAGATGAAGAAGGTTATGAGAGTGATGAAGTAAAGTTAGCAAAAAGCAAAGTTGCTCCCAAAAAGAATATTGAAAAAGAAAAGCGGCCAAGAACAAAAAATGCAGAGAAACCTTCAAGACAACCCAGCTTAGGAAGTACTAACAACAGTGGGAGAACTGTTGAAAATATTCAAGAAATGCTTAAAGATTTCTTTCAGCAGCAACTGAGGATCGAGATGCAATGGAGAGAGACAATGGAGAAGTGTGCTCGTGAAAGAGAAGTATTTGAGCAAGAATGGCGGTCGTCAATGGAGAAGCTCGAAAGGGATAGGATGATGATTGAACAGGCTTGGAGGGAGAGGGAGGAGCAAAGAAGAATGAGAGAGGAGAACCGAGCTGAAAAGAGGGATGCACTGTTGACGACGCTTTTGAACAAGCTCATAGGTGAAAATCATCCTTGAGATGATTCATTTTGCTCATGTTATATATTAGATACAATGAGAAATTTTCTGTTTGCTGGTTTATAGCAGAAGATTTAGGTAGGTTACAAAATATTTGAAGAATTAAGAGTTTGGCTTATATATAAGTAGGAATTACCAACACGGAGAAATTCGCAACTCAGATAGATATGCAGGTATCATGATACATGTTCATGCTTGCTTTCTTGTAAATATTTACAGGAGTTAATTAATTAATTAAGCTAAATTAGATGTGGATAAAAGGGTTGGCTTTGAGCTTTGGAGAAGAATGAATTGTTTGTGATTTGATAAAAATCATATGGTGTACTGTAAAGCACTCATAGTATTGGAATGTAAGCATTTTACAATGACTGTGTTTTCAAGATTTCAAATATGGAGTAGAATTATATGTTATTGTTGTTAATTATATATTGAAAGCTGCACTTTCCTGTCCCAATATGGTTGTCCTGATTTACATTGATAAGTAAAGCTATGGCTGAGAAAGCTTGATTAAAAAAAAAAAAATTGAATTAAATGGCTAATTAAAAACTAAAAAATAAAAATAACGACTGCAAGATTAGAAAGCTGTGCGCTTTTAAATTAACAATGATTGGAAAATCTTCACATGCTTGCCTCAAACTAAGCATATCAATGTTTTAGATTTGTTGAAAATTGACTTTAAGTGTAACTCCAAAGAGAGAATGCTCATACTGCTATTTGCCTATTTGGGTTAGTTTACTTGGACTGTATTCATATCAGTACCATATGTGAGATAAATTTCCTGAATGATCACTCAATTTTCATTATATTACATTAAACACACTGAATTATATTTTTTGTAACAAGAAAATCATTTAACTTTGCAAGCAGCTAAAATTACTGCATCAATCACAAAAGATGCTGATAAAGATTCAATTTCAAGTTTATAGGCAGAGTTACTCGATACATGAGGACATATAGCAGTAGCAGGTACCTAGAATAGTCGACGTGCACACAAACTAGTCGGGACACCACCAAAATTAAGAAAAAAAATAACTAAAGTAACGTTAACAAGGACTTGTCATCCCAACCCAGAATCCAAATTGAATCACAAATAAAACAAGAGAAGTTTACACCCTTTCTAACTCCATGATGTGTTTATCCAGTTGGTCCTTCAACTCTTCCCTCCATCCTTGGATCAGTCTCTCCTGCTTAGCTATGAGTTCAGTCTTTGTTTTCAACTCTTCTTCCATCTTTTCTATCTCCTGTACGTAGAAATTAATTAGAATCCATAATAATCCATTCGCGACCATAGGAAGGAGAGAATACGTCCTTTGGTAACCATCATACGAAGCAAAGTGTGACCTATGAATTACCTTTGTAAGCATCTCGGGTCTTGTAGGCAGATCATCACGTTGCAACCCAATCAAATGAAGTTGAAGTTTCTTGGCAGCTTCCATGAAATCTCTAGCATGTCTCTCTACATCGACTAAGGAACGAAAAAATTTCAATCTCGATCAGCAAAAAACAAAATAAATGAATTCCACAGCTAATAAGCCACCATTTGCGCTGTAAATTTTAACAAAACACTAATATGAAAATGAAAAGATACAAAAACTCTGAAGCATCAAAACAAGGCAACACAACTTTATTTCAGTGTCTCCATTCTAGAAAGTTCTGAAAAAGAACATTAGATGCAGCTAATGTTTCCAATAACACCGTAAGGAAAAAGCAACGACAAGAAGATTTAGCCGTGATGAAGTTATTAGTAGTTGGGTACATATAATTTTGCTTCAGCAATGTCGAGAAGCCTGGATAAATTTCCATGTAACCATGGTTCAAATCTCAACAAAAGCAAAAAATATTAGGTGATTTCTTCCTATTTGTCTAAACGTTAGTGGACAGAGTTACTCCCGCGCTGGTGAAAAGTAATAAATACTCGGTGAACTAGTCGAGGTGCACTAGAGCTGGCTTGGTCCATATAAAAATATAGTTTACTTGGATTCGTATTTCAGTAATGGAACTTTAGTGGTCTACGAATTAACAATGCAGCAAAACCTCAGGTGTCAAAAGCAAATGCTACATAGATTGAGCTCATCAAATCTATGAACATAAATTAAGGACGAGATAGAGTTTCAAAAATAACACTGATTGAACATATTCTGAAGCAAAACGGATGTTAGTATATATAAGATGTAAGTGACAGTTTGTTTAAGACATGCAACAACAACAACAACATACCCAGTATTAACCCACATCGTGGGGTTTGGGGAAGGTAGTGTGTACGCAGACCTTACCCCTACCTTGTGAGGATAGAGAGGCTGTTTCCAATAGACCTTACCCCTACCTTGTTGAAGACATAATTAAGTAAATAAATGTGTGCGCTCTCTAACAGTTAAAGCTTTTAGACGAGATGGTCACACACTTCAACATTGTATCAGAGCAGGCAAAGTTCCTAGGTTCGAGTCTTACCGCCACCCAATATCAAAAAGAATTTTCACGTGCTTGGCTCATCAAAAAGGATCAAGCCCGCACGTGAGGGCGTGTTGAAGACATAATTAAATAAATAAAAGTGTGCGCTCTCTCACAGCTTAAGCTTTTAGATGAGATGGTCACACACTTAAACAACAATAATCTATTTTATTGCTGATTTATCACCAAGCTTATCTTTCAAAAGACTCATCTCACAATGCTAGAGACACAGGATTTGCACTAATTCAAGAAAATTGGTAAGGATTGCTCAAACACCTATAGGCCTGAAATTACTCACTCTGATGATATGGATGGGCTGAACGGTCTATTGCCTGGAGTTCTCGTGCAGGCAAACAGGGTAGTAAGGCAGCCTCTAATGCCACCACACAGGCGATCATATCATCCCTTGAAGCAGAAGAGTTCATCTGTGGTTCAGTATTTTGCTGTTGATCAACATGATGTCTGTCAGCCATGTACCTCAAAGCAAATGCAGAATTGCAACCCTCACTTCAAAGACCAGTTGGAGATGCTATAGCCCTTAAGAACAAAAAATAACTGGATTAACATACCGACTTAAAAAGATTCGAAGAACGCCTCTATTCAGCTCAAATATTAAGAAAAAGTAATTCTCATTGTGCCTATGATTTATGCCTGGCGGCGTGTTAGCTAGCGCGTATCATCTTACGAGAAAAGATAGTAGTGTGGAGCAACAAGAAAAGGTATGTAAAAAAATGTCCTTGCCTCCAAAAGTTTTTGCAACTCAATTATATATGACGGAATCAGTAAAGATTTGACCTTTTATAACTCTAACTCACTAGAGACCCTTAGAGCAAAGAAAAGATGCGGAAAGACGAGATTGATATTTACTATCCTGTCTTCTTGCTTAACGTTATGTGTTGTTGCAGCTAAAAAAACTAAACTGTATCATCAAAGGATGACTTCCCTAATTAAACAGTAACAAGGGACTATATGCCCAAAACTTAGAAACAGGTTAGGTGGTATAGGCGCTTCCGGCTGAATTAATTAGCTCAACCTCAGAGACTTGTTTGCTTCACTTATCATCAAAGAGGGTATTTTTCTTTCACCAAGCCTATCGGAACTTCATGGTAAATGGATCTTCCATCAACCGAATAAAGAGGCTAATAAACTAAGTTACTGCGGACTAGACTGAAACTGATTTAGATCTCTTTAAGTTCATATACTACCTAAAGATAAGGCCAATGTAACCTTTCAAGATAAACAGCCAGCAAATTTAACACACACAAAGTCACAGTATTATTTGATTTCATGCAATTGAAATGTTGTCTTCAGAAATTGTACAAAGATACTGTAATAACATTGAGGAGACAACCATTCCCCATACAAGCTCTTTGCTGGATATAAATAGCAAATTAACAACTAGAAATTCAAACATATAAAAATCAATGTAACTTGGAAATTAAACTAGGTCAAACATACAGGAAAAGCATAGGCAATTTATCAGAGACGTTTCTCGACCATATCAAGTGCACATTATAGGACATTCATAACGTATTTCTCTTGGTAGAAATTCACTATAACATAAAACACATACACATGAACAGTTGGAGTTCGTAGAGAGGCTTAAAGGGCTTACCCCGTGTAAGAAGTTCCCAGACTAGTGCAGGGTAGATGGAGAGAGAGAGAGAGAGAGAGAGAGAGAGAGAGAGAGAGAGAGAGAGAGAGAGAGAGAGAGAGAGAGAGAGAGAGAGAGAGAGAGAGAGAGAGATAGAGAGAGAGAGAGAGAGTATTATCATAAACAGTTATTTCCTTGTATTTTGACAAAGAGGCTAATGGAGTTCCTTGCATTATCACAAAGAGGCTGTTGGAGTTGGTAAAAACGTAAATTGTTTTATACCAATCTGATTTAATTGGTACCTTTCGTCCAATGAGGAAATGGGCCAAAATCAACAGACTCAAACCTATGTAGCTATAAGAACAAGTTGTTTAAGACAATGGAATCACCTGCTAGTAGTAATGAAAACGACGATATTGCATAAGATAACCATTCAACATACAAGTTCTTATCCGGATATAAAGAGCAAGTTGACAACTAGATATTCGAGAAAAAAACCAAAAGAAACTAGGAATAAGTAGGTGAGAATAAAAGAAAAGGACCAATGCAGGAAAATATTTGAAGAGTGTCCTGAACTATGAGGATTCATACCGCCAACCCTAACAAGCGGGAATTGAAGCATAATAGTTGCTGTTGTGTCTCGAACTATCAGGTGCATACAGGTCATCCATTTTATGATTCTTCTGAGTATAAATACAATTAAAATCGAACATATGCACATGAACAGTAGGAGTTCATGAAAACAAAAATTGTTTTTATCAAAGTGCAAATGTATATTAAATAAACTAGCAAACATCCAATACAAAACAAAGGTTTCCTACACCAACTTTCAATTATTCAATAGAACATAAAACACATGCACATGAACAGTGGGAGTTTGAAGTGCACCCGCTAGTTTGGGTAGGTGGAAAATGGCTGAATGGATGTATTATCGTAAACAACTTTTTCCTTGCATTTTGACAAAGAAGCTAATGGAGTTCCATGCATTTTAGCGAGGAGGCTGTTGGAGTTTGTAAAAACATACATTGTTTTATACCAATCTGATTTATTTGGTACCTTTCGTCCAATGAGGAAATGGGACAAAATCAACAGACTCAAACTTATGTGGCTATAAGAACAAGTTGTTTAAGACAATGGAATCACCTGCTAGTACTAACGAAAACAAAGATACTGCATTAACATTGCAGACACAACCATTTGCCACACAACTTTTCATCTGGATATAAAGAGCAATTTGACAACTAGATATTAGAGAAATAACCAAAGGAAACTAGGAAATAATTTACAAACAAGTTAATGCAGCAATTTATCTGAAGCTATATGTTCGGACTCTTCAAAAATGCTGACGGGTGAATTTTTGGAGAGTCCGAGCAACGTAGATCTGAAGCGTGTATCGTATCAACTATGAGGATCATATAGCCAACTAAAACAATCTGGAATTGAGGAGGCGTAGTAGTTGTTGTTGTACCTCTGAATTATCAGCCGACAGTGCATACCCTTGGACATTCGTTTACATAATCCTTTTGGTATAAACAAATGCTCATGAACAGTCATGGGCAAAGCCAGGGGCGGAAGGAGGTTCATTCAAACTCCCTTTGCCGAAAACAAACACTATATATACTCGGCCAGAATTATTTTTTATGCATATATAGTAGATGTTGAATCCTTGACTTCTTCGTATGTTTACTTCTTTATATTTTGAAACCCCTTACTGAATTATCTCACTCCGCCACTGATTACAGTAAGAGTCCATGAAATTGCACATCATTTTTATCAAATATAATCTATTTCCTACCTTTTAACGAGAAAAATGGGTCAAATTCTACAGGATCAAACCTAAGTAACTAAAACAAAAGAAGTCAGTAATCAAAACAAAGACACCACACCAGATACAATTTTCATTCTTGATCCTCCTTTTTTAAAAATTATCATTTCTAGGTTTTAATAATCTCATTACTAGCTATAGCATAGGAAAAAGGTACAAGAAAATAGCAAGAGAAGGCACTACAAAATGAAATGCCAAAATAATTCACGATTCAAATACAATTCCAAGAACAGTAGTCGTAACCATCATTTTAAATATAAATTAAGATATAAATAACAATCAAATATCTAATTTTATTTCCAACTATATAAAAATAACAAATGGATGTAGCCACTTTGCACGAATAAACCCTTTGCCCAAAAAAAAAAGAAAAAAAAGAAGGTGAAAGCAGAAGCATAGTAAAAGAACAAGTTTACAACTTCGAAAAAAAGGAGCTTTTACCTTGAGCTATGGCGTGTACTATGTAAGACTGGAATCAGTTGAAGTGAAGACAGGAATTTAAGCAATGGTTATATTTTTAGCCGGGAAGTACTGTATTAGTTATGGAGAAATAACAATGTCGATATTGTTTATATCCAGATTAATAATGAATGAATTGTTATGGTTAATTAATAATAAATGAATTATTATACTATATAAATTATTTATTTTTTAAAAAAATATTTTTATTTTAAAATATTTTAAAATCTCAGTATTGTTATTACATGTGTTTTTATTTTATATTTTATCTTGTATAAAATAATATATAATTTTTGCATAACTTAATGCATATACTATTTAATACCACCAATTAAATAATTTATTAGTTGTGCCGGCTAACCAAACACTTTATTATTTTATGCTATATTTTATATTTTAATTAACTAATCCAACACAATCAACGGATCGATACCTTAGTGAAATAAAAGGAAAGAAACTACTATCTCCAATCCATATTATCTTGTCCTTTAAAGTTTTTGCATTATAATTAAGAAAGTGTTATATATAGAATTGTATTTAAGGTGAATGTCTATATTTTAGAGAGATTTTAAGATTTGTTACTTTGTGGCTACGTCATTTTTTCCCTATAAATAAAGGAGTTCTATTTCATTGTAATTTATCCCAAATCAATAAGAATCATCTCTCTCTACTTTTCTCTGCAATATTCTTTTTCTACTTTTATTGTTTCATAACGCGTTATCAGCACGAGACTCTAACCAATTGAGTAGAGGCATCTGCTTTGGTCACCAGGCTTTGGGATATGTGCATGTTGCTCAACATGTATATAATATTGAGTATAATGATTGTCAATTATTCCATGAACTTCCTTCAGAAATAAATTATGGATTGAAGGTAAGTATTTTACCTTATTTTTATCTTCTTAACTCTTGAAATTTTATAATTTGATTTTAAATACAAGCAAAGACAACAAAGTTTGATTATAACTCTAATAGATTTTGTAAGAAATTATAACCACTCGAAGTGGTAAAATTTCTTTGTCTTGCCATGATCAAATTCATGTATGATTATGAGCACAAAAATTAGAAGCCCGTTCCATTGAATTTGATTTATTCTCATTCTCTTAAGAGAATGTGGTAGCAATATATAATAAGTCTAAAAGAAGATAAAATTATTACCATGAAGATATCAATGGATGTGGACGTGGCAATAGATCAAATTATAACCGTCATCATTATGGTAATGAGAGTAATAAGGATTCTCAAAATAATCCTTCACTCTGTGAAAGTAATGTTTGTCATCGATTTGACATGAGATTTTGTAAATCACATATAGATTATTATGGTCCATTCATGATGCGAATGTGATAACATGTGATTTATGAATACATATTTATTCTTGGAAGAATATGAATGTGCTAGTGGCAGTGAATATACCACACTCACCTCTAGAAGAAGGTTGAGATGAAATAAGAAAATAATGGCATTATTATGACATGAATGGTCATTGGTCACGTACCTATTATACGCCAAAATATTTTAGTAATGTGATTATTAAAGGACAACAGTAATGCAAGAAACAGATCTTGCATATAATTTGACCATGACCATAATGGTATAACTTTCTCTTTAAAAGATATTCACCAAATATATGTTGAATATATGGTAGTACCAAATTAATTGAGAGCTCTAGAAGAGCCAATTATTACTATTTTTGAGGAATAAAATTGATTATCAATAAGACATTGTGTTGTAGTAAGTCTCAAAGAAACTTATTGAGTTTCTAAAGTATTCGCGAAAGCGGTTGGTTATATTGAGACTATAAATAATGAGAAGATTTAATATCTTTACATTACTACAACTGTAGCAGGGTAATGTGTATATAAAAATTACCGTTTTATTGCCTGATTTGTACTACATAAATAAAAATATGGTGAAATTACATGACACAGTAAACTGGATGTTTATTGATATAAAATACCCATGTCATAGTAAACTGGGAGTTTAATTAATAATTGTACATGTCATAATGTAAACCCAAAGTTTATTGTAATTTTATCAAGCATGGCCTATTGAGCAATCTTGATTTAAGCATGATGCGCAAAATAAATGAGAATTCACATGGGTAAGTGTTGAAGAAAATTCTTCATGGATTCTCATGTGTTGCTTGTTCTCACGATTATTATACCCACTAACATTGAGATTGAATCCCTTGAATTTTGAAATTTATCAAAGGTGAATATGAGCCAATTCATCTGCCATGTAAACCTTATAAAGATGCATCTATGAGATGATTACATGTGCGTTTATTATCAACCCGCAACTTGAATGCCAGGTTTTTTGCTCAATAATTTAATTTAGAGCATAATTTTCAGATTTTCTATTCAAGAAAGTTCATTTGATAAGTTGGTTTACATCACAATTGGTTTAGCAAAACTATTTATTGACGGCTTCCACTTAATAGCTAAATTATTGCTTATGAGAACAAAGTTATCTATATCAATTTGATATACGTTATACACGAAAGTATATTACATTCTCCCCTCACAACTGGTTCGGGGTCAGGAACCAAATAATTCTATCTTATTATTATTATTGATGTGCGGTATATATTTTGATTAACACCATAATGCACAAAGATGGGTTCCCAAAGTTGAGGAAGCAAGTTAGTTTTTCTAACATGAGGGGGAGAGATAATAAACATTTAAGAAAACGTTATGTGGAATGAATTATCATTTCTACATCCAGATCCTCGAATAAGATAATATGAACTTGAAATTCATAAAAAGATAATTCATCTGCAATATATTGCAAAGCATGCCGGACGCATTTGTTGGCCCAAAGAAACTAACTATATTCTCAATGCAAATTCTCCTATTAGAATAAGTCCTAGAAGGACAAAGTCTATAGTATGCTTAAAGCGTATAGACCAATCGGTTTCAAATAAAATTCTTGATAAAGAAGATGAGTAAATGATCACAATAAAGAGGTAAATGATCAAGAAGATCACATAACATAATACTTCATAAAATCTCAGGAGAGGTTCATGTACCTGAAAATATAAATGAAAAAATCTCTATGTTATGTCTTTATGAAAAAACAAATGAGGCTGAAACCGATATATAATATTCGTCGACGACATCTATGATAGCTGTCACGACCCAAAATCCTAACCTGTCGTGATGGCGCCTATCTCAATATTAGGCAAGCCAACAACCTTAATAAACCACAATTTCTTTTAAGTTTGAAAACATAATATTTGAACTCTATAGAAAATCTCACAAACTACTGGCATAAAATACATTCCCAAAACTCGGTGTTACTGAGTACATGAGCATCTAAATGATAACAAAGTCTGACTGATAAAAACACTATCTGAAAATATAGAACAGTACAATAACTGAAAGAAAGAGAGTCAAGGTCAGCGGACGCCAAACAACTACCTTGATAGTCTCCAACTGATAACACTCTGAGATCTGACAGTCGCCGTATCTGGAAACATTTGGATCTGCACACGAGGTGCAGGGTGTAGTATGAGTACAACCAACTCAGCAAGTAGCAATACTAAATAAAGAACTGAAAGCAGCGACGAGCTTTAGAGCTAAGTCCAATTACAGTAATTCCCAACATAAGAAAGTAGGCATGCTTTCAAGTTCAACAATTAAGGCCAACAGAGTAATTTCATGTCAAATTCAATTGAAACAGAAGATAATATCTCTCAAATATTTCCAAAATAATGATAGATGACAACTGTAGTACAACAATAATTATCACGACCCGAAATTCTAACTTTCGGACTGTGATGGCGCCTAACATTTCACTTGCTAGGCAAGTCAATGTTAGAACAATATTAACCAATTTTTAAACAATCCTTACATTATTAATAATCAAGGAAAAAAAAGCGGAAGCAAAGTTTGAAATATAGTAAAATAATTCATAAATGCAACGGTGTCTAAATACCATCCCAGAATTGGTGTCACAAGTGCACGAGCTTCTAGAATAAATACAAATAAAGGTCTGAATAAAATAAAGATGTCTAGAAATAAACACACAGGATATTAAAATAGACGGGGACTTCAGAACTGCGGACGCTATGCAGTTATACCTCAAGTCTCCTCTGATAGCTGAAATTCGAGCAAGTCTACGGTACGCCACTGGGACCAACTCCAAAATCTGCACAAGAAGTGTAGAGTGTAGTATCAGTACAACCGACCCCATGTACAGGTAAGTGCTGAGCCTAACCTCGACGAAGTAGTGACAAGGATAAGGCGGGTCACTTACATTAACTTGTACGCAATATTAGTAACAACAACAATAATAGAAATAATTCAAGTAACTCATTTATAATAATTGAAGCCAACTCAGCAGTCATAACCAATTATCATTTCCATCAATTCTGTTGCAGCGTGCAACCCGCTCTCACAATATATTCACCTTCAATTCTGTTGCGGCGTGCAACCCGCTCCTCCAATATATTCATTTTAATCAAGTCTGTTGTGGCGTGCAACCCGATCCACCAATATATATATACATGTATATATATGTATGTCGACTTTTAAATAAGTCTGTTGCGGCGTGCAACCCGATCCTCCAATATGAATTTTTAATAAGTCTGTTGCGGCGTGCAACCCGATCCTCTAATATGGACTTTTTAATAAGTCTGTTACGGCGTGCAACCCGATCCTCCAATACATTCATTATAATCAATTCTGTTGCGGCGTGAAACCCGCTCCTCTAACATATTCATTTACCAATTCTTATAGAAGAAATTTCCCAAATAATTGCAACAATTGATATAAAATTATAAGATAAGAAGCATACAATAATTATGATTTAATTATGAAACAAACAATGTCAAATAGTAAATTATTATAGAAATCAGGGAAAAAATAGACAGTTTAATATTTAATATGCTAAATATTAAATAACAATTAACACATATAATTCAAGTAGCATGTAACAATTAATGCAGGAATTCATGAATTAATATTTGACAAAGAATAGGAGAGAAACAATTATTATAAAAATTAATTCAAGATTTAAAATAATTTATGATTTTTCAAGTAAGCAGACAAACAATTAATTTGACGACGTATAAACACTCATCACCT